ATCAACACCTGCAGAAGGGAGGGGGCGAAAGTAGGAAGGGGCAGAGGGAGAAGCTGAGCTGCGGTCCAGGTCCAGCCCCCGGGTAGCTCTGGAGCACATGTGCCCTTCAGAGGTGACCTAAGTGGGCAAATAAAGCCTTCATATTCCCTCTTCTGTTGTCAGTGGAAATGGGCCACATAGGGTAGGGGAGAAACCTTAGCAAAGCAGCCCTTGGCAGCCGAGGCCATCCCTAAGGGCTGGCAGCATTCCCGACAGCTGGCAGCAAGGCCTTCCTGGAAGAGGGGCACTGCATCTCCTTGGCCTCCATAATTTAACATGTGGCATCACTTCCCCCACCCGCTCCAGAAGAGGCCCTGAAGGGAAGGGAACCTAGAGGCTGAGTCAGTCCTGTCTCCTTTGCCTCCCTCCTCCTACCCCAAACAACTCTCAGGCCACCATCTTGGCAAAGACCCCCAGGGCTAACCAAGTTCAAAGGGTGTCTGTAAGCTGGGGTGGGGCAAGCCCAGGCTGCAGAGCAGAGGCCACGCTGGGAGCTGAAATGTGTGGCCTGTGTGTGTGGCCTCCTGAAGCTGATGCTCAGAGAGGGCAAACTGCCCCTGGGACACCTTGCACAGGGTTGTGGGGGGGGGGTGTTGGTTATCATGGTGATGGGGGGTGGGCAACACTGGTGAGCAGGCGTGGTCCTGCAACAAAGAACTGTCCCAGGTCCCATGGTGGTAAAACACCTGTCTGTAAGTCTCCAAGTCTAGACCTAACTCTGTTTTACACATAAACACAGAGTATTTTGTTGTATGACTTTAAAAGTACACACAATTTTCTAAGAATGTGACTGCTATGTAAATCAAGGGAAGATATGTACTTTGTTTAGTTTGGAATTTTATCAAGAAATGTTCCTCTTTCAGAAAATCATGTCATGTATTTGACTCACCAGGACAACACCCTGTATCCACCTGCATATTACCTGTCACATTCTTAGTGCTTCTATTTATAGCTAAAAGCCAGGGGTAATGAAACATTACAAGGTCTTCCTAGCAGAGTGATGCTTAAACATTACAGACTGAAATTCATTTTATTCTCTGTTTATTTCTCCCTTATATTGCAATTAAGGCAGTATATTTGTTTTTTAATTACGTTTCTGGAATAGCTGTGATATCTGTGAATTTCATTTCAGGATGGTAAAAGGGACATCCGCAAGATGTTATATTGGAAGAAGGGTGGTGGGCCTGACAGGTTAACAGCCTCTGACCTGAATGTGTGCCCTCCTCAGGGGCCCGATCTAGCTCCCAAACTCATCCTATCACCCACCTTCCCCCACCAGCCGGGTGGGGCGGTAGGCTCTGGGACCTGTGAGGGGAGGGTGCCCTCTGCAGGCCGCCATCCCCTGTCCCCAGGGAACAGGCCCACAGAAGCCCTACAAGGAGCTTTCTGGAGGGATTTTGGTGCGGTGACTATTTCCAGAACTCCCTCCAGACTCACCGTCACTGGTCCCGAGCCCTCCCACCGTCCTGGGAATCTGAGTGATGGACAGAAGGGTGGCAGGGGAGGGGAAAGGGAGAGCTCATCCTCTCTCTTTCTGACCCACCCACCTTGGTCAGGGTCCGGGCCACTGAGTGTGGTGTCATTGTCCAGGTCTGCCTTCCACGATGCTTTTGCGGTTTGTGCGTAACCCCTCCACACACACACACAGTTTCCCTGCACTCGGTCACGCTGACATAATGCTGGGTCACACACAGACATGGGGACTTGGTTTCCCGGTAGGACTGCCAGATTTAGCAAAAAAAAAAAAAAGAACACCCAGCTAAATTACAATTTCAGATGAGCAAGTCATACTTCAGTATAAGTCTTTTCCAAGGATTGAATGGGGCATATTTACACTAAAAATACTACTTGTTTATCTGAAATCCAAACAAACTGGGCATCCTATATTTTATGTGCTAACCTACGCCCTAGTCCCGAGGCAACTTCCTGGTTGTCACATGTACTCTCCCCCTCTGCAGAAGCACGGTGAGGACGTAGACCCCATTAGTCGGGCCATTCTCTCTACCTCTGCCCGGGGCATGCCCTCCCTGGGCCCAGCATCGCTGGCTGAAGTGTCCAGGGAAGACTCACAGGGAAGCCTGCCTTGAAGAGTGAGTGGGAATGAAACCTGGAAGGCCAGGAGAGGCCTGTCTGGTCTGACCTCCTTCACTGACTCTCCTGCCTCCCTCTTTCCCTTACAAGAGCCTTTGCATGATATTGGGCCTAATCGAACCTACTTAGATAATGCAGGGTCCTTCCCCATCTCAAGATTCTTAACCTAATTACATCTGCCCAGTCCCTTTTGCCACGTAAGCAAACATTCTCACAGGTTCTGGGGATCAGGATGTGGACATTTTGGGGAGCCATTATTTGCCTATTGTACCTAGTTTAAGGGTCAAAATGCAAAATCCAACCAGGTATCAGCCTGAGAAGGAGATGCACCGGAACCAGGAAGTGTGTATGGATAATTTGGCCTCAAGGTTGTGGGCTACTTGACCATGACATTGACACTTTTGTGTTAAGAGGTAATCTGTGGGGATGGGGGTAGGGGTGACAGGCACTGCTGGACCCCCTCCTGAAATGCAATGCAAAAGGAACATTATGTATATGCAGCATCTGTTTGCCTCTTTTTTTTTTTTTTTGGCTTTTGTTTTTCTTTTGCAGTTATTAAATCTGTGTGCATGGAATTTTAAACCTCTGCCGTAAGTATATCCATCCCTGGGCATTATTACCATGTCATGTGAAGGGTTGATAGTGTCCTACAACACTCAGAATGCTGTGTTCTAGAGTTTAGTTTTGCCAGAGTTGTGTTTTTTCAGTCATTTCTTCAAGGGAAACTAAATGATTTAGTTGGAGAGAAAATAAAACCAGGTAATCTGTGCATATTGTTACTCTGTCATGCTTGTAATGCTTCCTGCCTTTATGCCTTTGTGCCTGCAGTTCCCTCCCTCCAGGGTCCCCTGACCCTCCTGGGAGCCCCTGGGGTTGTGCTCCTTCTTTTCTCCCCACGGGACAGAGAGCTCTCTGGGGGCCGGGCCTACTGCTGTCACCTTGCATTTCCTTGGCTCTGTGCAGGGCATTCTGAGGATAACCACAAGGGGGGCAGTAGACAGGCTTGTTCATGTTCTTTAGCACCTTGACAACAGCCTGCCACTGTCATCTTGACCATGGTCCCCAAGGCCAAGGGAACCCTTGGGATACCCCACTTCTGTCCAAGCCCGCCCACTAGTGGTTATATGAAGCCTGTTACACTAATGTTCACATTTTCAATGTGCCTGAACAACTGTCGTGAGAAGCTATGGAAAGTAGGCATCATCAGCCCCGTTTGTCAAGCAAGAGACTGAAGCTTAGGGAGGTGAATGACAGTTCAGTGCATCAAGCCTGGATGCATTTTGGAATCACCTGGGGAGCTTTTAGAGATGAAGTCCACATCTCTAGGTGTGGAGCTTAGGTGTCGGTGTTTTTTAAAGCTCTCCGGGCAATTCTGATACATGTATAACCAAGCTTGAGACCCACTGAAGAAGCCCAAGGCCCACAGCCAGTAGGGAGCAGAGCCAACTCTAGAATCCCAAATCTTGGGGCACTGCTCTTCTTTTATCCCTAAAAGAACTGGGGAGGTTCCTGGACAACTGGTTATTTGGGGTCCCACAAGCTGGAAGGCAGTGCCGGAAGGGTGGGCTCCACAAGACAGTCTCGCCTTCTGTGAGGCCAGCCTCTTCCCTCCTCATCCCTCCCTGACTCCAGAACTTGGGTCCAGACAGCCAAAGCCCAGGGGACAAGGGGTGACTCAGACGCTTCCTGTTTTCCTGGCCTCGGTGACTGGGGTTCATGGCCTAAGAGAGGGGGCCTGGAGAGAAGAGGAGGCTGGAGCTGGGGACCAGCTGCCGGGGAGCGAGCTAGCTGGTGCCACGTGGGGGAGCTGACTGGCTTTGGTGGGTGGATGCACTGGATTCCAAAGGGCATGCAGGCTTGATGCACTGAACTGTACACCAAGGTGGTTTGTTGGGTGGCCAGCTCAGCAAAGGAAGGGAGGATTTGGGGTCAGCTTTCTCTGAAAGGTGGGGATTTTCTTGAGTCCTCAGGGGCTGAAAGGAAGACCTGTGGTTGTGCCTGGATGTCTGGTTCAGGCAGCTGGGAGGCTGAGGGCGTCTGAAGGAAGAGCTCTACACAGGGTGGCAAAGGACCCAGATTACCTTGCCCCGCCCTGCGTGAATTCCCGTCTGACCCTGAGCACACCCCAGTCATCTCCGAGCCCCTGCTTCCTCTCCTATGAAACGGGGGAGAGGCTGGGGTGAGCTGAGCTCTGAGAAGTCCTGGGTTCCTAAGAAAAACATAACCTCTCCCAGCCTTACAGGGGACTTTTCATTGACATGATTTTAATTTCAAGTCAGACAATAATCTTGAGAGGTAGGCAGGGAAGGTACTGTCATTACCTGATCACTGTCGCAGACGGTGATGATCAGAAGACTAATAAAGGCGCTGGCCAAGGGTGTGTAGACATGGGGAACCCGGACACTCCATGTGGCCCAACTTGGTTGCATCCTTCCTTGGAGGGCAGCAATATATGGATATTTATGAAAAAACAAACATGTCTGAATGTTGGCCTCAATCATCTCCCTGATGGGTTCACCTTTTAGAAGTGATCCTAAATTCAGAAGTCTTATTTGACAGGAAGATGTTTACCAAACACAGCCCAGACATTCAACAATAGGAAAATATAGGCGGTAGAATGTGTATGAGTTACCTGTTTCTGAGTAACAAATTACTTTAAAACTTAGCGGCTCAACTAAAAACTGATTATCTCGGGGTTACCGTGGCCAGGAATCCAGACACAGCCTCGCTGGGTATGTGTGGGTCAAGGTCTCTGCAGAGGCTGCAGTCCAGGAGGAGGGATGGAGCTACCGTCAACTCAAAGCTTGGCTTGGGGAGGGTCCACTTCCAAGTTCACTCACATGGCTGTTGGCTGTCTCCGGTCCTTGTTTGCTCTAGAAGGAGACACGAGTCCGCCAACTGGTGGGCACCAGATAACCTCAACGTGGCAGCTGGCTTCTCTCACAGCAAGGGAGCACCCTAGAAGGCACGCAATCCTTCTGTAACCTGCACTTGGAAGTGACCTCCTCTCACTTCTGCGGTATTCTATCCCTAGAAGTGAGTCACTCCATCTAGGCCAGGTTCAAGAGGTTACAGAGGAGTGGGAATACCAGTAGGCGGGACCGTAGGGGAGGGAAAAGTTTTCCTCCACCCTCTTAGGGTCTCTGCCTGGGCCTGAAAATTAAACTGACAAATACAGATTAACAGGAGAAAAGCATATAAATTTATTTAATACAAGTTGCATGTGACAGGAGGCTGTGTAAGGAAATGAGGACCCAAAGAAACAGACCTGAGTATTTTATGCTAGGTCTGGTGGAGAGTGGGCAGTTGGGCGGACACAGGGTGGGTCAGAGAATGTGAGGTACGTGTGCTGAACCAGAGGGACTCTTCTTGGTGTCCCTTTGTCTTCAGAGACAGGGTGGTCCTTTCTTCCGATTCAGGGAAGGCACCTCTCACAGGAGGGGACTGCTGAGGAGAAGGGCAGGAGAAGGTCACAGTGACCTTCTCGATGTTGCTGTTTCCTCAGACTCCTTCACCTTAAAATACTCAGTACGCCAAGATGTCATATTTAGGGATAGTGTGTCCTGAAGCCCTTCAAGATCACGGGGGGCTTTAGACGCTGCCTACCGTAGAGTGTCTGAAATGCTTATGATCTCAAGTGACGGGAAGACAACAGGGTGTGTACACAGAATGATCACATGCGGATAAGAAGACAGTAGGGAAAAAAGACAGGAAGAGGTTTGTTACAAATATATATACACCTAAGAACCACATGGAGCCTGCATGATAAAGCACCTTTATAAATTAGGCCTTTTGCTTTCCACCATGTATTCATTTATGCATCTTTTTTCCCCCAAATTATTTATTCACCAAATTTCAGTAACATTTCCTGGCCCCAGGGACCAAGGAAGGGGCTGGGTAGGAGGGAGTCCAGGCTCACCACCCGTCCTTGAGCCTGTCCAGCAGTGAGAATCTACACATTCTCACCAGGACAGGCCTCAGGGGTTGTGTCCCAGGTAAACCCTGACCCTCTAAGCTCACTGCCTATTTGTAGGTTTCTTGGAGTCTAAGGAGTTAGCTTTGGGGGCGAATCTGGGGGCAGCACTGGCCGGAGAGCATTCAGGGTAGAGGGGGCCCCAAGGAGTGAAGAGATGGAGGACACGACCCAGAGAGAAGGGAGAAAGCAGTTGACACAAGGGGAAAACACCTGAAAGTCGGAGTCTTTAGCCCGAGTGTGCCGGTCACATGACTGTAACTCTTTTAAGCCTCAGTTTCCTCATCCACAGAATGGGATGAAGATAAGTAATAATGCCCTTCCTCATTCACTAGGGTTAAGTGGGACTGATGGTGCACAGAAATACATTCTGTAAACTGGGAAGCTCTGGACAAGTGATGGTTTCCTTGGTGATTAACTAGAACCTCCCTCCTGCCCCTGAGCTGCCAACAGCCTCTCCCGAACCACAGCGACGGGTTCCCACACACTGAGCCAGTTCCCTTCGGTCTCCAGTTCTATTGGTCAGTGTTGACAGTGACTATGCTTCGGTTAAAAAGAATGGGGTTACCACTCGCGAAGGATGATTTGACAACATACAGCAAATCACAGCTGACTCGGACATTCCACCTTCCAGGGTAGATACACACGCGCAGGCATGAACTCACATGTGCAGGCACAGTCATCACAGCAGCCTTTGTGAGGGCAGAGGGTGTGAGAACGAGGTGTCCATTCTATCCACAGGGGACTGGTGGACACTATGGGACATCTGTGCAGGGCTCAGCGGTGAGAGTATGACAACGAAGGAGCCAGCGCCAGGGGCCCTGACCCAGGAGGACCTGCAGCACAGACAGGGAAAAGAGCAGGTTAGCAAACGCCAGCACCTGCTGATCCCCACTAATGCAGAACGCTGGACAAAACCACCTGCACGCACCTGATTTGTATGGAAATACAGAGGAACGCAGGGAGGAACAAGACAGCCGTCAGAAGTGGCCATCTAGGGGAGGGAGGGTGGGAGTAGGGCACAAGGGGAAAGGGCCTCACCCTTTTAACTCCATATACTTCAGGGATCGCTACCATTTCCTTGTGATGGGATGGATATTCATGTATTCTTTATGTAATTTTTCAAACTTAAATATATACATATGTACACACACACACACACACACACACACACACACACACATATATAAGGGACTAGATAGCCCTTGAACAACATGGGTTTGAATTACACAGGTCTATTTATACACAGACTTGTTTTCAATAAATACATTGGAAACATTTTTGGAGACATAACAATTTGAAAAAACATTTTCTTTTTTCTAGCTTATTGTAAGAATACAGTATATAATACATATAACATACAAAATATGTGTTAACCAAATATTTATATTAACATTAAGGCTTCCAATCAACAGTAGGCTATGAGTACTTAAGTTTTGGGGGAGTCAAAGTTTAGTAGTTCATTTTGGGGGAGTCAAAAGTTATAGGCAGATTTTTGAAGGCACAGGAGGTTGGCGCCCCCAACCCTCACGTTGTTCAAGGGCCACTGTATAATATGTACAAGCCTTAGAATCTTTCACTGTCTTTAAAGTTAGAGATCCCTGGCTATTATTTCAGATAACTTCTGAGAAAAAAACTACCTTCATTCATTCATTCCTTAAACAAGTAGTATTCAATGGCAAATAAAAACAAACAAGATTAGTCTAGTGAAGGGACAGACCCTCATCAAACAGCCTCCTAAATAAAAATGAAACAAGTCTACGATGGATGCTCTGGAAAGCAGACCCAGAGAATGTTCTGACGAGAGAAAAGCTAAGGAGGTTTTTCCCCCCAGTTTTACTGAGACTCTTCCCCTCTCCCTGTCCCACGCCCTCACTCTTTCCATCCTTCAGAACTAGAACCTGAAGGCTTGGCTGGGGTCTTTGGCAGCTTGGCGCAGGGGCTCCCTCCAAGTGCAGATGCAGGGAGAAAGCACAAGGCAGGACCCAGGAAATCACTAGCAGATGAGCTTGGACTGCAGGGCTATGCTGGGGAGGTGCTGGCCGGCTTGACAGCCTAGTAGTTCCAGGCCTGTCATTATCCTCATCCCTTGTTCACAGGCACAGCCTCCAGGCACCCAAGGCCACTGTTCAGATCACCATCCCTTCCCCAACTTCTGCTCTGCAGGGATTCTGAGCAGTAAGGCCACTGCTAAGTAGCCTCTTTCGGTTTGGAATTGGTATGTTCACTGCCAATGCCAGAGTCTGGACCAAGAAAAGAATTCACGTGTGCACATGTGTGTGTGTGTGTGTGTGTGTGTGTGTGTATACACACATGCATACTATACACAAGGTCTGTACTCTGTGGATAGGGTGTCAATTCATTCCAGATTTACTGGAACAGCCTCAGTTTCACATATTTGGACACCACAAACCATTGAAATATCCTGAAAATTCCAATATGATTATTTATGCAGCACTCCTTCAGTCTTGTTCCAAAAAAAGGATTTTAGAACCAGCTCAAAGAGCTGTATACACTTCAACAGAATTTAAACATAACAGAAGGAGCCAGGGAGAAAGGAGAGTAAGATGGCACAGAAACACCTAAGTCAAGACCAGCGTGTGCTGGAGGCAGGCCACAAGTGTATCCCAGAATTTCCAAGCAGCCGGAGCTAAGAGGGGAACAAGATGACATGGATTCCTGCTCTTTAGACCTGTGGGAATTTCCCCAAAAAGTCCTCAAAAAGATGCAGCATGACTCAGAGTTACAAAGGAATGAATTCATGTTCCGTATCTTAATAATGTTTGGTTACACGTGACTGCATTTATCAAAACTCACAGAACAGAGCCCTTAAGATCTGGGTATTTCACTGTAAGCAGATTTTACCTCAAAAAGAAAAGAAGCATAAACATATGCTATAATATGTTATAGGAGGTAATGATATGCCTCCTGGAGTGTTTAGGGGTAAAGTAAGTTGACATTCGCACCTTACTTTGAAATGCTTCCTCAAAAAAGCAAAGATGAGTTGCTGGGTGGGATGAGGGACGGAGGGCCTGGCAGGGGACAAAGCAAGCGTGGTAAGAGAGAGTCTTGGTAGTGGGCGTATGGTGTGAGCTGTACAACTCTTCCGACTTTTCTCTATGTTTGAACATTTTTATAATACAAGTTTAGGGGCTCCAAGAAATTAAATGGACCTTCGAAGTTACCCTCAACACCCAGAGGGGCACAGGCCCTGCGTTCGGTTCACAGAGCCAGAGCTGGCTGCAGCCTCAGTCTCTGCCAAGCCCCTCGGCTCCTTGCTCATGGGCAGAGCTCTGGCTTCACTGGGGACAGAGAGGCCTAGCTCCTGCACAGCCCCCAGCGTGGCGGGATTCTGGCATCTCCCAGACAAAGCTCTCAGATCACGGAAACCCCTTGTCAGGCCATGAGGAAGCAGCTACCCCCTGAGGCCCTGTGTCTCACCCTGAGTACCCCTGCAAGTGGCGGAGTACTTGCCTCAACAATGTGATGGTGTTGACGGAGGGGCTTTTCTCCCTGCTGGGGACTGTATGAAGCATTTACAGCTATCATGTCATTTAATGTCAAGTGCCCCACTCTCATCCCTGCAAACCCCCCACCTCCATCCCAGCATCATCGTCAGGGCTATTCTGACCAGCTTCCCCGCCTACCACCAAACCAAAACCCAGACAGCCTGGGTGGGGAGCCTATCACCTCTTTAACAGAATCCCAGGCTTAGGAAGACTTCAGACAGCAGGTAGGTGCCACCTTAGTTTTTACAGTGGAGGAAACGAAGGCCCAGAAAGGTCCCACGGCCAGCCCAATGTCACACAGCTGCAGGACTGAACTTTGTCTCCTGGGCCCTGTCCTTAGCTCAGGGCTAGTTGGGCTGCAGGACTAGGTAGGGAGGGGACAGGGCCAAGACCCCACTGGAGAGAGAAAGACTAGCTCATAGGGTCGGGGAAGAGAATTGCTGGGCCCCACAAAGCGCCTGCTGGAGAATCCTGAAAGAGCAACTCTCGTTATATAGTTGGAGAAAGTTGGTCCCAGAGGAGCGCCTGTCACTGGGTCCCACAGCCGGTTCCGAGCTGCATAGAGGCAGGAATCTGTTTCCCTGAATCCCCACTGTCCTTCCCACTCTGGTCCCTCCATTCACTCTGAAGGGTCCCGAGGTACAGAGCAGATGGGGCTGTGCGTCTGCCATATGCACTCCCACCAAGCCCCCGTGCCTGGGACCCAGCAGTGCTCCCCGGGACTGAAGGCCAGAACTTTTGCTTCTCCCAAGAGTCCCCTCCTAAGAGTTACAGAACCCAGGTGCTGTAAGGGCTACTGGCAGAGGGCCCCCCACCTCTGCAGCCCCTTGCAGGGGGGATGAGGAGAAAGCTAGAGAGCCCCAAAGCCACACATCCCCCAAGACACCTGCTTTTCAGCCAGGCCTGACCCCAGAGACTTCAGACACCCCACCCAAGGGAAGCGTCCAGCCCTGGTTGCTCCAGGCCTCAGGCAGGACCCAAGCAGACCCTAGATTGAGGGGTGGGGGGAGGGAGGTGGTAGAGGAACACCCAGCGGTGAGGCCCCCAGCCTTCCAGCCAGAGCCAGGCGGGGAACCCATGGGAGAAGGGGGGTCAGATGTGGAGACAGGGTCTACAGACAGGCCCAAAGCAGCCGGCCATGCCAGGCTCACCAGCCCCCTCCAACTCAAACAGTGGGCCCCTGACTCTCTGGGAAAGGGGCATTTTTCAGAGATTACATCAGCTCTTAAAGTTTTATGTTTCCTGCCTACCTCAGCCCGGAGAGCAGAGCCCCAGAGCTCCTGGGCCTGTGAGCAGGCGGCAGTCCCGGTGCAGAGCGCCACGGGGCTCAGACATGCAAGGCAGTCCCCCACCACAAAGGCAGCCATGAGGGTGGCTGTCCAGCAGCCCGCTCACCCTGAGGACACAGCGCTGCCTGGGCCCTGCAGGGCAGATGCAAGAGGAAAGAAGGTAGCAGGCTCCCAGGTCCCCAATCACACCTGGGGCCTTTGCTCATGCTCCCCCTCTGGCAGTTCCCATGCCTTCCCTGCTCTGTGCCACCTGGCAAATGTCTGGGCATTGTTCAGGTGTCACGTCCACTGTCCTCTCCCCTGTGAAGTCAACCCCTGAGCCCCTGCAATGTCTTGTCCATCCTTCCATAGAACCCTGAGCACCCTGTGTGGTGTTTAGAACCAGCCCACGTTCCCTCCTGCCTCACCTCCCTTCCCCCCCAGCCCCCAGTCCCTGGACAGCACAGGCCAAGTTCCATTTCACTCTGGCAGAAATGAATGAATCAACCACAAAGGGGTCGGAGGGACCCACAGTGAGAACTCAGCCAGAGGCAGGGAAGCTGGAGGTACATGAGCCAAGCGGTGGGAAGTGGGGACATGGTCCCCAAGAGAGCCACAGTGTAGCCAGGGTGGGGAGAAGAGGGGCTGTGCCTCCAGGGACGGTGAGCTCCAGCAGGAATTCCTGTGTGAATGAGCGAGGGAAGGAACGCATGAGTACAGACAGGAGGGAGCGTGCAAAAGCCATTACCTGCTACCGTGAATTCTAGCAGCAGGTAGGGGACAGACGTCTGCATACACTAATTCCCACCCCACCACCCCCACCTCAAGCTTCACAGGCTAAGGGGTGCTGAAGGCGGTACATCAGGCCCAGATGGGCCAGAGTTGCCCCTCTGCCCAGGCAGGGTGCTGACTGGATGCCCCGGGCCCAGGACCAAGCCACCTGGCTGCTGACTCAGGCCCCACCAGCCAGCTCAGCATTCCTGCCCACCCCACTGAATGGGGCTATTGAAGCTTTTTGTAGAGGGGTTAAGCCACTGACCACACCCCCAGCTAGAGTCT